GGTCAAAGAATGGCGCAGGAAGATGGCGTCCAGGGCTCCGGGCGTGATTTTCTACGATCTTGCAGATTTCGTTGCTACGTCGAAAGGCGAGGAGGAGGAGGAGGAGGAGGGCGAGGAGGAGGAGGAGGAGGAGGAGGAGGAGCCGAAAGGGGGGGAAATTCGTTACTTTTCCGCCCGGCGGCCCCGTGCCCAGCAGGCAGCAGGGCGACAGGCGGGCAGGCGGGCAGGAGCAGGGAGGCGCTTTCTTCTCGGGGCGAGAGGGGGTCGGGCAGCGGTGGCGGAGAGTTCAGGACACAAGCTCGGGGGCCAGCTTTCTGAATTCATGGCAACTTCCTGCTGGCCCCCTGAGAGTGGCAGGAGAGTCCTGGTCACGCGTTCCTGCCATGGCGTCCTTGGCGAAATAGATACGTCCGGCCGAAGCAAGGCCTCAGAACAGCGCACGCTCTTTCTTTCGATATCGAGCGCCACAGGCAAAATTCGTGGCAAGCTCGATCCCCGAACAGCCACGTACCAACAAGATATGTATGGAACTTATCGTGCATGCATTCCCTCCAGAAGCACGTATCAAAGTTGATGTTACTAATTGTGTCGTTCGTTTAACTCTCCGAAAGGTTCCACGAGCGGATGCACCGCATTCCATTGACACTGTCAGCTTGAAGGACTCATTATCCAAGTTCACTGGCGCAGCTGTATCCATGAGATCATACAAACATGTTGAATCATTATTGGGATCACTGTTTTTGTGCCTCAGGCGAAACTCCTTCTCGGAGTCAGAGCCATGTGGTCTGGGCCGTGCAAATCTTACTCGCAGACGTGTGGCCATCCCCTTCCCTCCTCTCTCTCATCCTCCTCCACTTCCCTCCTCCCCCACCGTCCTTCGCAGGGAGGGGTCCGAACAAGGACCTGACAGGAACCCCACAGGGCCCGACCTCGACAACATACCATCCCGACTTCGACGCCAGACGGTGCCTCGTGCCGAGCGCTACGCTGGTTTGTGGGCGATCAAGGTTGCACCCCCAGGCGTCGAGGTGTGCAGTGATCACCTCGCTTTTGTCAAGGAGAGAGCCTCTTGGGATGCGTCTTTGGCGGGTGATCAGTCCTTGCATGCGGACATATGGCGTGAGATGATTGCGCACACGGAGGGCCACCCCAGGCCCCTGCTGACGTGGGTGCCCGCCCACCGCGAGCTCGATGATGTGCTCCACCTCTCCCAGCGAGAAATCTTAGACTGGTGTGGCAGTCTCTGGGCTGTTTTTGTTTCGCTCGCGTAGGCTCGGCTATGCAGAAGGTGCCAGACGTTGTTGTTACCTCTGAGCGTGCCAGCATCTCTAAGACGAAGCAGACCTGGGACTTTCTCTCCAGGGCTGTCCAGGTGTTCAGGATCGCGGCCCAAACTATCGAGACCCCTCCTGCTCCGCCCAAGCTAGCGACGGCGAAGCCATCGGTCACTTTCGTTGAACATGGTCTGGCTTACATCCCTGCCAGGGAGGAATGGAGATGCCGCAACTGTAATGTCTCAGCCTTTTTCAGAGCTCACGCTCAAAGGGATCCGCACTGGTGCCAGCAGGAGGTGCCAGCCTGATCCAAGTCGGGCCCGGAGGGCCTGCGAGATCTTCCAACAGGTTGAATCTGGCCCAGGCGACGCCTCGGTTCGGGCTGCGCCTGCCGCTGCCTCTTTGGCCCCGGGGCCTGCCTCCCGCTCTCCTCGCCTGCCCGTGGCGCCTGGGGGCGATGGCGACGATGGCGGGAGCGCGCTGCCTGAACCAGGTCTTGGGCTTTTGGAGTTTCAGGCCGGGTCTGCTGACTCCGGGGCCCACCCCGCTCCCCCCTCCCCGGGGGCTCATGGGCCCTCCCACCCTGCCACTCTCGGCTCGGGGCCGGCACCAGGCGATGGCCTCAGCGTCGCGATTTCCAGCGCCGCCCTGTGCGGCATGGGCGGGCTGTCAGTTGCCAGCTGCGCGCCTGTTCTCTGGTCCTTCCCGATGGCCGTCGTCGGGGACTCGAGCAAGAGTGCAGAGGAGCGTCGCAGGTCCAGTCGACACCTCAGGAAGCTGGCCTTGGCTGCCCGGGGCAGGCATCCCTAGTCTGGGGGATCACTTGCCTCCCAGCCCCACCCCCGCCGCCCCGCCACCCGACCCGTGCGCCACGGTGCGGGTGCCCGTCGCGGCCGCCTCGCGCGCCGTGGAGGCGGCGTGTGTCTCCGGGAGGGCGGTGGGAGGTGGTGGGGGTGCGGAGGACTCGGGCAGCTCAGGCTGATCCCGCGGCGCCCTGGCCTTGTAACCCCTTCAGGCCCAGGGCGTCGCCTTCATATTCTTTCGGGCTCGGTGTTTGATCGAGTCCTCGTTCCCTCACTTTATCTCAGTCTGCTGGTGGCTCACCTGCAGACTCGAGGCTCGCCCGCTCGCTCCCCACCGTTCTTCGCCCCGTCCTCCCTAACCGCCCCCGTCCCCTGAGAAGCTTCAAAATCCCGAGGGACTCCGAGGGGTGCGCGCACACCGCCGCTCCGCTTGGCGCCGAGAGTCACGGGCGGCCAACGTACCGCACGTATCCTTGAGTCGGGCCTGTCCCTCTACAGGGGGAATGTTCACAAATAGTCAAAACAATGTATGGGGATTATTTTGGGGGTATTTTTGTTGACCATTTTTGACTATTTCTCAATGTTCGTCGAACATCGGCCTGTTCCTCAGCCACCTCCTGATCACCCTCATTCCCCCCCCACCTCTGCGAAGTTCTGGGTGCCCGAGTGGGTGGCGACATCCGAGCCCTAGTCCCGCCAGCCATCGATTCCTCCTGCTCCTCCTCCACCTTCTGCTCCTGCTCCTGCTCCTGCTCCTCCTCCTCCTCCTCCTCCTCCTCCTCCTCCTCGTCCTCGTCCTCGTCATCATCATCATCATCATCATCATCATCATCATCATCATCATCATCATCATCATCATCATCATCATCATCATCCTCATCCTCATCCTCATCCTCATCCTCATCCTCATCCTCATTATCCTCATCCTCATCCTCATCCTCCTCCTCCTCTTGCTGCTCCTCCTCATCCTGCTCACCTTCCTTCCCTCCCCCCCTCCCAGGAAGCTCCCCTCCTTTGCGAGGTTCCAGAGACCGTAGAACACTTCAGATAAAGTTCGCCGCTGCCCTGGGCTGCCCGGGCCGGTGCACCGCGGATAGGCCAGCACAGCCGCGGCATGAGGCGGTCGGGAGGGGTGGGGCGGGGCGAGGACACACAAGAGGAGGAGGAGGAGGAGGGGAGGCGGGCTTGGCGGAGGCAACACCGTGTTCACGGTCCCCGGGCGGGAGAGGGAAGCCGCAGGCTCCCTGACCTCGTTCTCATCGAAACTCGGCGGCGAGCGAGGGGGGGGAGTGAGAAGGGCGGGCCTTCTCAGAAGGCGCGGGAGTCCCCCTGCCTTCTGAGAAGTGTGCTGAGCCTTTCCCGCAGACGCGGAAGACTTCTCAGAAGGCGCGAGGGCTTCTGAGAAGTAACGCCGCCTTCTGAGAAGGCCTTCTCCTTCTCATTTCCCCCCATCGCTCGCCGTCGAGAAACGGCCTGCCACAGGAGTCCGCGATAGCCCTACCCAAATTCCAAGCGTCTCTGGACAGGGCTCTGGCCCCAGCCAGGTCGCTCCCGCGCGGAGGTTTCAAGCGCCGGGCCCTGGATAAATCTGACCTCAAGTCGAGCCTGTCCCTATACGGGAGGAATATGCAAGAATGGTCCAAAAATAGTCTGGGAACGGTTTTCCTATCATTTCAGAGCAATTCTGAGTATGTTTGACTATCTTGTATTTTTCGTCTAGAATCCCCCTGTAGGGGGGCATGCCCGAGCTAAGTCTGACCGTAGCTCGAGGAACCGCCGGAAGCACTCGAGAGGCCCTCCATGGGGCTGACGCTCTGCTGCCGCGCCCCGTAGGCGGCTGTGAAAAAGGCGGCTTCGGGCATGGGCAGACTGCCGATCCAGCGAACGCCAGCCTCCTCCTCCTCCTCCTCCTCCTCCTCCTCCTCCTCCTCTTCCTCCTCCTCCTCCTCCTCCTCCTCCTCTTCCTCCTCCTCGTCCTCCTCCTCCTCCTCCTCCTCCTCCTCCTCGTCCTCCTCCTCCTTGTCCTCCTCGTCATCGCCCTCGCCCTCGCCCTCGCCCTCGTCCTTATGATGCGTTCCTTCTGGTGATGGCACGAGATCTGCAGCCTCCGTACCCGCCGCACTGCTTCCGTGCAGGGCCCCACCAGCCACGGCCGCGGTCCTGGCCGCCCGTTGCGCGAGCGGCCCCCACAACGAGCGGTTAGCAGCACGAGAGGAAGCAACACAGACTGCACGACTGGAACGGCGCGGCTGGACACTTTTTGACAAGCGCGGACAAGCCTTGTGGCACGGGGAGGAGGGGGAGGAAAGGCGGGGCGGAGGGAGAAAGAGGGAGGAAGACGCAACAAGGCGA